AGTTTGTGAAAAATTTATTGACGCAGCTCCACAACAGTGAGAAACATACACCAGGCCAGGAACATGAGCTGCACTCCTTGACATGGAACTGCTCCTATGGGCATGACTTGGCAAGACCAGGTTTCTTGCTGAGGAAATACAAGATGTTCATCTCCATGCCCACACCTTACTGGTGACTGTTTTGCACCACAGCTTACTGTTGTGACTCAAAACGTGATTCACTGAGTTTCAGCCTTGTCCACAGCTACTTGAGCAACAAAAAGGAGGCAGGAAACTGATTTTCTGCACCAGAGATGACACACACAGCTCACACCTGGAAATAAGAAGCTGGCATCACACAATCTGGTGGCAATAGGAAGAAGCAAAACAGAGATGCCACTTATGTTGTTCTTCCTTTTTAAAAGAACAGCTTCAAACAGGTGTGGGTTTTGTCTGTTTTTAGAGTTTTGCCCTAAATTCACACTTTGAAGGACATGAAGTAATAGATTCAGTGTTGTGGATGTTCAGTTTTCATATTACAACATTTCTTTTATTCCTGACAAAGCATATAGATTTCAACTTAGCATCAATTGACTGGCAAAGGGGAAAATTAAAAACACATTTTGGTTTCATATTGCTTTTAAGCTAAGTTTGAGTTAAGCATAAGTCATCCTGTCTATTCAAAGCATAAAAACATGGTGATTTCCATAGTTATCGTAATCATCAAAACAAATTAAAATATTGGGATGATGAGCTGAATTCATAAATACAGAAAATAATCACTGAAGAACAGCTCAGTGCCCCATTGGAGGAGCAGCCCCACTCCCAGGACCTCTCACCAGTCAAAGGCAGGGAGAGAGCCACCCAGCTCTGCACTTTCATTTTATTGTCATGGTACTTGCACTTAAAAACTAATTCCTCATGTAAATTAACAAGGAGGTAACATGTTACCTAACTTACCAGTAATTTCCAGGTGGACATTTCTCATTTAGTGACCACTGCCATTGACACAACTTTCTGTGGCAGTTCCTTGGGACTCCTTGGGCTTGGAAGCTTCTGGGAGAGATCTGAGAAGCTGAGAGCAGTCGGTACGCAGGGGGACAGGACTCTGAGGAGGAGCTCGTGTCACCTTACCAAGGAAACTCTTCTGTCAAGTCTTTAAAAACCAGTTCAGGACATTTTTATTGCTGTTCCAAAGTACAACTTAAAAATTTGGAGATAGGCTCTATAAAAGTGCTGGGGGGGTAGGTTAAATACATATGTAAACTATACTGCACTATTTCCTTATTCCTTTTAACACTTACAAATCACTGGAATGTTATACCTAACATGTATGTGCATTGTAAATACTACAAATTCCTATATTAGTGCCAACAATTAAATTACACAAAATGTAATCTAAGGTGCTCAGTACTATATGAAGTCTAAGTGAATAACTAAGCAGTTTGCAAAGAAAATTCATATTATATATATTTATAGAAAAAATTAATGATGATTACAGATGCTATTTCTTCATTTTCAGATTTTGGACTGATTCATATTTGGATGGGATAGACAAATGAAATATGAACCTACTCCACATTTATAAGAGTATAGTGAATATTTATATTTTAGAGGAAAAGAATATATTTAATAAAGTCATTTATTGGATTTTTGTGATGTGAGCTTACTTTATATCCAGACAAACTATCTGGAAGGCTGTCCTTTGGTTTTGGGCTGGGAGAAATACATTTCAACTTCAGTGCTTCTGTTAAAAATTCTGTTACTGGAGGGAACTGTTAATTGCATTGGTGGAATGATTTTAAAACTTAAAAAAACCCAAACAACTGAAATCCCACAAGTATGTTTCAGGGCAGGTCATTCAGAGATCTCTGCTGAAGTTGCAATGCTTCCTCTGTTCATTTATACTGGACTAGGTGGTAACAGAAGACTTACAAAAAAATTAAGAAAAAGCAGAAATTTCTGCTCAAGCTTCTGCATTCAAGGACTGAGGCCAACATGTGCCTTTTTTCTCTTATGGATGGTTATGGGGAAACAATTTTTTTTCTTCTTTGATTTAATTCTTAACTTAGTGGCCGAAACAGAAAAGCTAACTGTGGGAATTTAAGCCTTTTCTTTCAGTCTGACCCAAGTTATGACCGAACAGCCTCATGGAAAGCCCAAAAAGGGATATCCCAGAGTTTCACTCTTTTCACAAAATGATTACTATAAATGGAATGGTCTTATTGACCGAACAGCCTCATGGAAAGCCCAAAAAGGGATATCCCAGAGTTTCACTCTTTACTACTATAAATGGAATGGTCTTACCAGAAAGTGTGTATAGCAGCTTCACCATGAGAAAGATTGGGATACATATTGAAGCAAAAATGTTATTGGAAAAATGTGATGTAAAGTGTTTGTTAAAAAAAAATAAAGCTGATCTGATTGTGTTCAGGGAATCATACTGGTGTTTCTGAATGGAACCAGCACCTCTCTTAAGGTACTTTAGAAATCAGAACAAGACTCTTGACATGCTACTAAGCAAATCACCACCACAAACACCATTAGAATTGATCCTTTGCAAATAACAAAACAAGTGTTTTCTTTCTGCAGAATGTTAGAACTTCTTCCTCCCACAGGTCACGGCAGCACACTCCATCCAGCTCTTTGCATTGGGAAGCTCAGCTGATTTGAAGGGGAGATTGATCTGATTTCCACCTGAGAACATTCAGTGTCCTTACCCATGCTTAAAAGTTAATTCGAGCTTTGGTTTCAGTGGAAGCAGAATGAGAGTCTAAAGAAATTATGTGCTCCAGATCATTACACTACCATTGATTTCTAAATTTATGTTATTTTCCATAATTTCAAACTGGCAGATTGATAACTAGCTATCTACTGAATCTATTTACTATACAGAGAGACCATTAATACAGTATATTTATATATATACATATATATAGACACACTGTGTATATTATGGACACTTGAATTCAGTGGTGACTTCAATTTTAAAGAGCAGATATTAATAATATGCTTGCAAAATTTTGAGAAACAGCCTGCTTGCTTAAAGTGAACCCCCAGACTAACCAGGGCAATTTTTTTGATTTAAAAGAATGAGGGGAAAAACATTTTAAATATTTAACAGAGATGATAACCTCCCGTTGAACATAATCACCTGCTTTTCCCACATGGGATTAGCTATTCATTTTTTTATTCCTTCATCAGAATTTCCATGCTTGTGTAAATAATTAGGGGCATTAGGAAACAAATTTAGAAAACAAATTCCAAGGGAGAACTGTGAATTGGAACAAAGAAGTTTGTGGATTTGGAGAAGCATTAGTACCCAAGCCAAGTTCTGTGGTAGCCCAGTGATACTCACCATGTAATTGCTGTAATATTACAGGCAATCATATCACCAAGCAATTGCAATCACATCAGTTCTGTCTTACCCCAGTCCTGGGGGGAACATAAGCACATAATGTGGATGGAGAACGTGCTTCTACATATAATACATAATGTTTTTATGCTGTGTTATGTTATGTGCTTATTATATAGGATGGATGGATTATGGGTAAACCAAAAATGTGCACTGGTGAATAGGATTTATATCCTGATTTGCAGAAACATGAAAGCAAGCACCCAAAATATGCGTAAGGCAGACTGGATTTGGGGTTCAGCAACCACAAACAAGAAATAATTTGAAGTTGACAGGCAAAGGGTGATCTACATTCTGCATCACTTAAGTTACAGGGTATCAGCCAAGCTGCAGGAACTCTCAGTGCGGGGTTTTGGAACTACAACAGATGTAAAATAATTTGGTTTAGTGCTCTTACAGTGGGCCAGATCAAATTATTGTGCCTACTTTTTTGTAGGTTAAGAGCATGACAGGGACAGTTATCACAGCTCAAATGGGGCACAGTGTTATTAAGCCACAATAATAAACCAGCTACCACTTGTCCTAAAAAGCCACCAACACAAAGAGCAAATGAGACATGGGTAGCAGTGTATTAGTTCTGCACTGGGAATTGTGCAGAAAACCACTACATCAAAATTCTTATGCTTCCCTAACTGCTTTCCTGCTGATTATTTAGGCCAGTCTTTCAGTCTACAGAATTGATTTAACCAATTACCATTGGGTTCTACTTGAAGTGCAAGAAAAGCAGTTCAAAGTATTAATTACTTTCCTGAAGGTATTTTCTTTGCTCATGGCAGCTAGCCTCAAGGATTTATGAGATGTAGAGCTTCTGTACTTTTACTTATCAACTTATGTATTATTATTAACTACAAAGTTTTTCTAATTACAAATAGATAAACTTCCCAAAATTAAGTAGAAAATACAACTTTCAGTGGCTTGCTTAGTATTCAGAAGAAGTATCAGCATTCACGCTGAAGAGATAAGGCTACAGCTTACAGCTTTTCTCTCTGGAAGTAGAGACTTTCCTGATTCACTATAGGATGTTAAGAAAGGTTAATGTCTTGATTACTTTCTTGTTTTTATATTGAATGCAAAGAAATGTGAGCCATACACAGTAATCATTACATTGGAGCAATTTTGTGCATGCACTTATTAAATGATTATTTAAATAATTCTCTTCATTTCGTTCCATTTCTTCCACCAAATCACTAAAGCTGGGGTGCTGCGCATGTGTGGCATTCTGCAGACACATGTAATCCATCTTACAAGCAGTTATGTTTCTCCTGGGCTTAGATGCACACAGTACTCACTAGAGCCCACTGTCACAGCAGAACAACTGCAGAGCTCTCCTACTGCAGCTCAGTTAAACCAAGCACACACCCCCCCAGGAAAGGTCTTGTAGAGTTCAGGACTGGTGAACTTGGGAACAAAGGAACAGAAGAGCTGAACTCAAGATCCTGTTAGACATGAAAAACCTCCTTAGGGCCCAGCTTTACACCAAATAGAATTAAGCAAAGAATAATGTCACAAAATCAGGAAGGCTGGAAGGCTCTTTAGAGAAAGCATAGATTTTACAGTATTAAGTCCAACCTCCACATGGTTTAGTTCGATTATTTTTTCACAACATTGCGTTTCATTTATATTTGTATTGTTTAATCTATTTTCCTACCAGGGTAATATAGCAAACAATAGCCATGCATCTCTATCAGTTTTAATCCTGTTAATTTATATGATAAATAGGAAATCCTTAATACAGAAATCTTAGTAGGAATTCCTCATCTCAACAAAATACTAACTTGAATAATTACATGAGTCCCAGCCAGGTACATGCCAGGGACTTAAACTAACTGAGGCCAAATTTAGTATTTTACTGTGTTTGCAACACAGCTAGAAACTATTTTTTCCTTACATTTCAGCATAGCACAAGCTCTCACCAGCCTCATTACCACTATTGCTTTGATTTTCTCCCCTTCCAGGAAAAGAAATCTCAGACCTCTCCTTAGATATTTTTCTAAGGAGTGTTACAAAGAGCATGCAGGAAATAATACCGAACATTCAGCTTGTAAAACAAAGAAACTTCCTTTAATGGGACCTTGCACCAAGTTTCAAGCCATGCTTTTTTTCTTCCTTATAGTACAACACAGAGATAATTAAGGTTCAAATTCTGATTGTGTTTGTTTTCACCTACAGAATAGGAACTGTTCTTGATTAGTGTATAAACTGTTAACGGCTGATGCTGTAAATAGCTGTTTATACAAGAGCAAGCTGAAGTAGAATAGAGATCTTCACACAAAAAGGTAAAACAAAGTAGTAGTTACCAAAATTAAATATGTGGGGGTTTTTATTCATATAAAAACCAAATACACTGCTTGGAAAATATACAAAGCTTTATAAATCAAGTCAAGCTATAGTCCTTTTAAAAAACATAATAAATACACATATAAAATACAACTTCTTTTCATTTGAATTTAAAAAAATTAAAACTTTCAGTATAAAAAGTTTCCAACCTCACTCCTTTGCTTGAAGAATGAGTCTTTATAGCTACACTGACCAATGTCCTCCCAGTGTGCAGATGTGTGTGTGCATTGGGCAGCATAATGCTTCTCAAGTCAGAAGTGCTCTGTCTCCACAGCTCCTGGGAAGGTGTCAATAGAATCCACACAGTGCCTCTACTTGCTAGTCTTCTCCAAAACCCATTCAATCACCTGGGCAAATAAATGAGAAAGCAAACAATTTACATACCTCCTGGTTTTGAAAGCAAATTAAGAACATCTCACAGACATCATCAATTCTTTCTTTAGCCCTTTGTCACCACCTGTGTAATATTTACTAAACAGGATTTAAAAGCAAACTAGTCAGGAGAAGAAAGCATCATTAATCTGAGAAGAACAGCATTACCCTAGAATTGTATTTAATCTTGCAAAATGCTTTGTCTTTAGGAAAAGGCATTTTTAGAACCCCTGAATTGAAATACTTCATTCTCTCCATATACCAGCAAGAAGGTGCACATAATGCCAAACAGCTCACGCTTCCAGCAGTAACAGTTCCTAATGCCAGAGAAGAAAGAATGAAGGATAATTTGTGCACTGCTGTATCTACCACCATTATCACTGCTGCTTTCCAAACAGGGCAGCTGTTCAGACCATTCACTAGTCCTTGGCAATTGTATTTTTGTAAAGTAATTTCAAAATACTTTCTAATACAGAAACATAAGCAGTTTAGGAGAACACCAATTTTAATGCCTTTTGCCAACAGCAAACATATAAAAAATGACCAATTTTCTGGCCAGACAAAGACTGAACTATTGTGCTGATAACTGCTTCTCTCTGGAGGTGAGAAGCAGTGTATCAGCATAATAGTTCAGTTCAACACCAAACATCACAACCCATATGGTTTTTGAAACCTTATCATCCATACAAAGCAATCACAAAGGAATACAGCACAGGACACAGCAGAAACTGCTCTCACAGAATAAGTTATCTGAAGATCTAGCAGCTTTCTTGAGGGTGTGTTCTATTACTTACCTACCTCAGTTCAAATTCTTCAATTTAATTTATAATTATGAAAACTACACTGTAATTCTGCATGACACTTTTTTCTTTTTTTTTCCCCCCAAGTCATGGAGTCACTTCAGTATGTCTCAGAACACAGTACCAGAGTTACTGAATTTCTGGAGGAATATTTACTTCTGTCATTTGCTCTGTGCTGCTGTGCATGCACATCCCACATTATGCACAAATAACCCCACCTGATATCCCTTGTGCTTACAGTTACTCACAAGCCTAAAATTACTCCTTTTCATTGCTGCTTTAAAAAAATCTTTTTCCTTTCATAGACCTGCTTATTACTTCCTAACCTTTGAAACATTGTTTCCTTCAACACAAGAAAAGAACTCCCTAAAGATCCTGATTAAAGAAAAATCTCATCTCTCTCTTTTTTTTTCCTGTTTGTTTTTTTCAGTGATGTAGAAACATTATTGTCTTAATTTCCATTTCTCACTGTGGCACATCATCTTGGCAGCTGTAACTAAAATACCACCCAAAATCTGGAAATTTTGCCTTGGAACTACTGATTGAGAGAGTTTGTGTGAGATCAGAGTGAAACAAGACCCACATGCACCTCTTCATCTGTTAAAGCTGTGGACTAAGCCATCCTGTGGCTATGTACAGTAACAAATAAACACATGGTCTTACCTGTTTAGCATTGCTATTTGCTGTTTTCTTCATTTCATCAAGAAGTCCTCTAGAAGTTTTTAGGTCCTAAATATGAACCAAAAAACCACAAAAGTCAGCATACAGTCATTCTAATTTGGGTTATATGAGCCCTGATAACCAGGGCAGTGTTACATTTTTATCACTTTGTTCACACCAAAAGAATTATTTGCCTTTGCTTTTTTAATTAAAAAATAAAAGTAATTTACATCTATTCCAATGAGTTGCAGTTTTTCTTACAGCAGTCCAAACCAATGATTTAGGAAGGATTGAGCCTTCCTAAACTTCTGCATATTTCTGCACAATTTCCAGAATTTTTTTCTTCAATGATATTTGAAGTTCTTACAGTCTTGACTGAAATCCTGTTTCTGTATAAACATGGAAATTAGCTGTGAGCTTACCCTGTAATACAGAGTTCTGGTAAAGAACAGAGAAGCAGACATCAGAAAAGAAAAACAGTGCAGAAAAGGCAAAAATCCAGAATGGCTTTTCTGGTTTGCAGTCCATTTAATGAGTCCAACCTCATTTACTCTTTTAAACAAAGCAAAAACAAAACCTTGCCTGGAGAGAAAGAAAATGCGTTTACTACTTGTCTCCAGAGCAAAATGATACCTATGTTACCATGCTTTTGAATTATGCAGCACACAAAAGGATTCAAAGGACTCCCACAGATTTGGAACTGCAAGACATTTCAGAACAGAATCCTGTGACACCTCTCTCTAAAAAGGACAGGATCACTGTCACATTCTTCCTTTTCTACTTGAAGTGAAACCACAAACCCTGATTTGCTCTACTTACACATCCCTACCTGCAGCCCCTTCTGATTTTGGATTAGGAGATCTTCCTTCAGGGCATATTTCAGAGACATTTTGGGAGCACTTACAGAATGACTGCACAACTGTGTTCCCACTATTTAAGAAACTGGTGCTTATCAGCAAGATGTTCTGATTGTGAAAGCATCCAGCCCTGTTCAACTTCCTTTTAGCTTAAAGCACCATTACTGAAGTTGACTAAACTGAGCTGCTTCACCCATAGTGGTAGGTTAAACCATGCAAATGAACAGAACAGCAGCTCAGCTTGTGAGGAATAGCTTTTAATCACTCCATACTGTAATTAATTTGATTTTGTGCTCAGACCAAGTAACATGGGCTTCAGCATTGACTCACAGTCTCGTAGGTATTGTGGAAAGAATGCTCATCTCCCCCTAAACATGAGGTTGATGCAATTCCACAGGATGCTGCTGAGCCAGTATGTGTTAGATAATAGAGACCATCATGTCAGGGAACTGCAGTTTCTGAGTCAGTTCTGTAAGCTACTTATTGAGCCAACAACCTTAGAACAAGGGAGAAAGCTGAGCTGTGACAGCCACAGCTGGGAGATACTCTATTGCCTCCTTAGCTGTTGCAACTCTTAAGAGTGACCTATCCTAACAGGCCAATGTTTTAGCATATTATTTCATTATGTATAAAAAGCTACTGCTTTAGAAGGTTTTAAAATAAGCAAAACCTCACCATACTATATTGTAAAACTACCTTCTCCATTTGACAACAAGTCCAAAGGTCTCTCCACACAATCTACACATTACTAACACACCACTGGGAAATATTAGCTTAATCAACTTAATCAATATCCCACATGGTAGCTCAAGTTTTATTTAGGAGTGACTTCTCTTAACTAAGAATAAAGAACTGTAAGAGTGTGTCTTCTAGTTACCTTTAGGTAGAATTTTGATATCTCAAATAGACGCTGGCTGCAGGATGCAAAGCACTTATGATCTTCTGCAATTCCATGTTTTTGAAGAGTCTTAGCAACCACCTCCTTCAGCATCTTGGAAACAGAAGAAAAGACACTCAGAAGTTCATCCCAACTACTGACACGAAAACTTGTCAATGGGAAGCAAAATAGCCCAACACAGAAAACCTGATCTTTTGTGATCTTGCCTGCCTTTAGTCTACTGCCAAACGTGATCAGCTCACTGCCTGAATTTGAGCAGAGTTATTTAACAATCTATTTCCATTTCCTTCATTTTAAAATATTAAGAAAATGCTTGCACGTCAAGGATCAGTGAACAGTCACATGAGCTTGGATGATAAAAAAGAAGTCAATATTATCTTGGGGTTTTTCTTCTCCAAAATAATATATATAAAATTATCACTTTTTGCTCTACTGATATTCCCTTCTTTGATGCATACTTATTAAAAAAAATTTTAAAGTCTGACACTAAAATCTCATTAGATAATTTCCTCTGACATTCTTTACATCAGAGATGTTTAAACTCTGCTGTAGGTCTGAATGAGTCACACCAATTTATGCTTCCTTGGACCATTCCAACTTGCCTTTGACAGTACCTTAACATTCTTGCAGTGTTCTCTTTCCACTCTGGGATTAATTTAAAATTTGTATCACTGAGTCAGAAACAGTTTTGTGTATTGTATTTTAGAAGAGGCTTTCCTAACATATACACCTAATAATTAAACATTACTCCACCAAATTATTTAACTGTTATCTCAATAAATGGATTTATAAAACCAAGGAATCTCTTTATTCTCAGAGTAGTCTGTTCCTCCACAATGCCTTTGACCCTTCCAGAACATAGATCTCTTTGGTGCCTTTAGGTTTTATATTAATCATCTCTATTTCATAACTCCTATTAATTGCTACTCATTTCCACCTTTTTTATTCCTCATTGTTATCTCCCTCAGCCTTTAATTTTCTGGGCATGATAAAATTTTCTTTGCACACTTTTTCATTCTTTGCTTCTGCAGCACTCTCCTCAGTGCCTTCAGGATTCACTTAAACAAGTGAACACAATGAAATTCAGTAACAAATACAGATGAAGATAGTTCACCTTGAGTTAAAAAATCTTTACAAATCAACTCCCATGGAAAGAAGTTAAACAGCTTTTATTCACTAAGAGAACAAGGTAGATTTTTACCCTTGTGTGTTTCTGGGATCTCGATTCCTTCTCTGGCTTTGCAGCCTCAGGCTCTGCAGCTGAGGCAGCCCTGGTGGCAGCTCTGTGGCCTTGGCTGGGCACTCTCCAGGGCACTGCAGCCTCACAGAGGGATCTCTGCGAGCGCTTCCTCGGCACAGCGCCCGCACCGCGGCTCCTGCTGCCTCCCCCTGCCTGCGACAGCAGCGAGTCCATGCTCTCGGATTTGGTTAGCCTGCAAACAACAGGAAAAAACCCAATGAGAGTAACTTTCAGGTTTTGTACCGACTCTTTTAGTGCCATTGTTTCTGCTAGAGAGGCTGATGCTTCAGAGCAGCAAGTACTGTGCATTCCTGCAAACAGCATCTGAAAACAGCAGACAGGAAGACAGGATTCTATTCTGTAGAATTTTTTATATTAGATGAACACTCTGCTGACTAAAGTGGGCTCTGACACATAGACCCATTGCACCTCTGATTAAAAAGGTCTAGAAACAAACTGAAAATAAATCAGGTAACTAAGAAAATAAAACTCTTGGGAAGAGAATTGGCCTCGAGTCTTCAGATGAGACAAAACTTCTTCAAACTATCTAATTTCTTTTGGCCCTATAGGAATGTCACAACTCATATTCAACTACAAGAAGTTGGGCATTAGAATTCTGTGGGAACATTGTAATTCTTGATCCTTCAACTGTAAGAGCATTAGTAATTCCAAACTCCAATTTACAAAATGTTAAGTATAATAATCACATCTTCTTTTTTAACTACTCAGTAAGCTGCAGAAGATACACGTATTTCTAAAACCAGACCTCTGTTAAAGGCTTACTGTGATTAGAATGCAAAGGGTATCAACCTGGAAATAAGGAAGAAGTGAAGTATTACAGTAAAAAAGTGAATTTGGAAATAGTGTTACCTAGCAGCTAATATTCAGTGACAGTTTGCATCTTCAGAGTGAGGACAAGGTACAAAGGGAAATCTTAAAAACTTCAACTTCCAAAAAAGACATTAATAAACAAGGCTGAAAATAAGATTGAATTTTGGTAGGTCATCTTATGCCAGCAGTCCTTTGGATTAGAAATTCAATTATTCTGTTTGTACAATCCTTGGCTTTCTAAATTTTTAGTTGTTTATTCGTAGTACAGGAGCACTGACTGTTGCAGTCCTAGATGTGGCTGTCATCTTTTCAAAGGCACTTGAGACTGCAAGATATAACCCCAAATCTGTTAAATAAAGTGTGCCTGTGCTGCATGGTTTTGATTATTCTAATGCCATCGATGAGAGATCACAGTTGAGGAAAAAAAATGAATCTACAGAAGAGGATTAAACAATTAGAACATTTGTCTAGATAGCCTCACTAAAACACTTTGAAATTAAAGAAAAGATGCAGATACTGAAACATTTCATGCTAAAGATTCATTTTATTCAGTGCATTACCTTTTCTTGGGATAAAAGTAATCCAGGTCTTTTGATCTGCCTTTTAGCCTTGATGTCTCTGTTTTGAGCTCGCTTTGCAAAGTCTCTCCATCAAGGACACTTCCAGGCTCTGACAAGACTGCAGGGGATGGGAGAGGGCTCAGGACAAGTGGCACAGGGCAGCACTCTTTGGTGCAAGTAGTCTGAGTTTCATAGCGGATAAGACGAGTTTGAAGTTCAGCATATCCCACATCTCTCTCCAAGGCTCTTCTGTTATCAAGACAATATCTAAAATTGAAATTTGGTGAGAAACCTGTGAAAGTCTGTTTTATTACAATCAGAAAAACTTACTTTTGACACTCATGTGAACTCCAAAACCTTTTTTTGTTGTTTGAACTGGTATACTGTTCTGAAAGACAACTTTTAACAGCCCAGTAAATTAATATTTGCCTGATGGATTTTGCTATACTTAAGTCCAACTCCAACAAAGAAGCTGAATTATATATTATTTGTAACTCTTTACCCTAAGATTTCCATGGAGCAGAACTTTTACCTTGAACAAACTCTTTGAAATGCAACTTTTAGCTTTGTCTGAGATAAACACTGATGTATGAGAGATTCACAATTTTTAAGTACTAAAAACACAAAAAAGTATCACTGAACAAGCACAAGCTTCCTATTGACTATAATAAATAAGTAGTTTCATCAACCAAATCAACAGAACAAACTGTATTAACAACAGTGGGGCTGAAAGACAACAAATGAACAAGTGCTAACTCAGTGAAACACACACATGAAGTAACACAAAATGCATCTTAACTAACTTTTCTCTGGTATAAATGATTTCCAGGATTCCTTGCAAGAGAACAGTGTCTCATCACCCAGTAACTTACTGTAGTGCAGGGAAAGGTAACAGTAAATCCTGTATTATTCCAGCCTCTTTGTTACAAATTGTTTTGAGCAGTGTGAGCTCCTGCTCAGCCCACCCTTCAAATTGCTCAGCAATGTCTCCTACTCTCAGGAATGCAAGACACATATTTTTACTTTTATCTCTTAACATGGAGTCATGTAAAATTGCTAGTTCCAATGTTTCCATTTTCTTCAGAGTATTTTCATATTCAGGGAGAAATTAATTTTTCTAATAATTGGCTGATGAATCAATTTTTACAGTTGAAGAAGACTTTCCACTAGAAATAAATTCATTATCTGATAAGAGAGTAAGTTGTCTGGACTTAAAAATTTCAAGGTATTTAATTTTTCCTGTTTATATTCTCAGTCCCCTGAGTAGTCACATACCCTACAAAGATAAAAAAATCCATTTAATTTGAGAAGTTAAATTGCCATTTTACTCACTGCTTTAATGGCAATTGCTTTCTCTTTGCAAAACAGCATTCAAGTGTCTGGCACATGTGCATTACACCAAAAATTTGATTTAATCATAAATAGGAACAGCCTCACATTTACAAGTCCTGGTCTGCATGGGGGACTTCAGCCATCCCAACAATCTGCTACAATACATAGGACAGAAGCAAACCAGGAGGCTCCTGGCATGCACTGGTAATTTCCTTCTCTGAGTGAGGTGAGGTGCTATGCTGGACCTTGAGCCCACCAAGAAGGAGGGGGTGGTGGGCAATGTGAAGCTCAAGGGCAGCCTTGGCTGCACTGACCTTTAAATAGTGGAGTTTGGGATCCAAAGGGCAGCAAGGAGAGCACACAGCAAGCTCACCCCTGGTCTTCAGGAAAGCAGGTTGCCATTGACACCAAGCTCTGTGCATGGTCAACACTGGAGGGAAGGGATCCCATCCAGAGGCTTGAGAGTGGCCCTGTGCAAACCTGATGAGGTCCAACAAGGCCAAGTGCAAGGTCCTGCACCTGGGCAAGGCAGTGCCAGCACAAGTACAGGCTGAGTGAAAAATTAATTAAGAGCAGGTCTGGGGAAAAAGATGTGGGATGTTGGTGTCCCTGCCCATGGCATGGATGCTGCAACTAGATGATATTTAAGGTCCCTTCCAACTCAAACCATTCTATGATAGCTGCTACTCCTTATTTTTTTGACAAGACTTTACCTCCAAATATAAATACAGCAGCTGGGCAGATGAAAATTGCATAGTACCAAACACATTTGCCCCAAAACCACAATACTCTTGTTACAATATGTTCTGGTCATACACTACCTCCCACTCTACTGCTTCCCTCCCGTTCTGCTAAGCACATTGCCCCTGCAATATTCATATGCCAGGATCTTCCTCCTCTCCACAATACCCAGGCCTCTCTGTGGTCTATATCTGTCACATTTTGCTAGGAGAAGAGGCAGCACAAGCTGTGCTGTGCCTAATTTGAAATCTCAGGCACACTCCTTGCTGAGGTCAGGCAGGGCAGCAAGATACCACATAGCAACAGACAACAGACGAGTGGTTTCTTCCCACACCTACCACATGCATTTCTCTTTCCTACCCAGTTGCCTCTCTGTGCCACTTATTACAAATCCAAAAAGGCTAATAGGTTCATGAGTTACTGTTTAGAAAAAGAGACTAAACTAAAGAGATAGGAGTGCTCCATCGCCCTAGAGAACTTGGCTAAAATTAGCAGATATTAAATACAGACTTAATCAAACTATTTATAAAATCAATAGGGAAAAATACCAGCAGCATTGTTAGTCAATTATGATAATCTGAACATGTGATTTTAGGAGGCAGCAGAAGCTTGCACAAATACTGAACTATGTTTGGTATCTAGTACATTTCTTAATATATACTGCAATAAGACTATCTTTATGGAAGAGTTATGCTTAATTATCTACTCCAGCATTTCTATAGCCTTTTTCCTTTTCTCCTCAATGTCAATATTTGTATTTTTCTAAACTATTTTTATACAGCTACATTATGTGACAGTTTGCCCATTCATTGCTTTGACAAATAACTATTACTGGCTGGCTGAGACTAACTAACAGTCCTAGCCATATGGATCCTTTTGAACATTGTTACCACTAACACTTGCCTGCTGGTGTTTTCAGGCTCCCTGAACTTGCAGGTAGCAGCATCACAGCAGGTTTCATTAAACCTTTTGACTATCAGTCCTAAAGTGTCTACAATTAGATATCAAAGCAGAAACTATGTATGTACTTAAAGCATGTGCTTCACTAGGAACTTGATACGTACTAATTCCCTTGCCATTTTTAGCTCTGAATTTAAATTTTCAGAGATACTGAGAAGAGACACAGCAGTACAACTGAGAAAAAAAAAGACCTTCAATGTTCTACATTACCATCAAGGCAGAAATGTTGCAATTGAAAACTGACATTTCATCCATAATTAACATACCCTTAACATGTTGCTTGAAACATTTCTAATTACACTTAAACTGGAAACTAAAAAATAAATCTGAGAAAAGAAGCCAGGAAACTTACTCAAGTCCGTGATAATGGCATCCAGCTGCTTTTTCAAAAGGCAAACCTCTGAGTTTTCGAGGAGTAAGCTCTGGTGTCAAAAGAAATGCTTTTTCACTGAAAGGAGAAAAATAAAGATCTATTTTAACCAATTACCATTAGGATAAATTATATTTCTAAAAATCAGAAACAAAATGCCTTCACATATTAAGAACAGAACAGTATGTCTTGCAGCTAAGCCCCTAGGATAAAGTATCAATGGACAATTAAATATGTATTGAAGTGAGAATTTAAGTTAACTGGTTCCTACTGAGCCATTATTGTTACAGAAGCTCTTAGACATTTTTTAGATGGTTAAGGTCACTGCTCCAAACAAGTTACCAATAAAACTAGGCAAATATCACAATGTCACAATGGGACACCTGAGTAGTAGAATGAACTGAGAGAAACTGGGAAGTGACCTCCAATTTCTCAATCACACACTGTAAGTAGTGAATTTCTCCCCTTCAGCTTCAAATTGTTGCCTCACCTAACACTCATTTTTCCCAGACTTCAGAACTAATGGCTTGTTTCCTGGGATACTTCAATTCCAGCTAGTAACTCTCTACAGCTAAATCCTCAGAGTGTATTTGTTTGAGGGTATATCAAGGGAATAAGCCATAGCAAGGCACATAGAAAGATCTTGCTGCCAGATCTCAACATACCCTGGCATTCATCTCTAAAGAAAGGAAGACACAAAGGCAAGATGTAACAGAATCTGAAACTTACACATTGCTTCAAATTTTATTAACATAGACTGCCTCTATACCATTTCCACTGGAATAATCTGAGAAAAACATTCCAGGAAAGATGTGATACTGAATCTAGCAAAATGATAATTTGGAAAGACTGTCAGCCAAAACTGTAATCTATCAAACTTCTATCTAAGCTCAAACACAGAAAACAAGTGAACATGCCTTTAATTCACCAATCTCTCTCAAAATCTCTTCAATCCTTCTGTTGGCCAGGAAGATCCTTAGGTCCATATTCACTGTTCTTGATCACCTACTGTGCTAAGCTCCTCATAATTCCAGAGAATTTAGTCAAAGCATCTGCTAGGGGAGTGAGCAGCTTGGAGTACAGTGTTCTGCTGGACTCAATTCAAATTCAGATCTCACTCATCTGTAGCTCAAAGCAAATCATTCAAGACACTCAAGGTATTCTATGCTATAGTGCTTCTCTGGAGGCTTTGAAAAAAAAATCAAAGACTAAAAAAATAGATTTTTTTAGTGAAAAATTATTCACTTCTTTCCCACACAACTAGTTGGATGAAAAATATTTTAGCCAAAATTCTAAATCTTCTCCACTCATTAACAACCCAGTAGGAGATTCTAAGTCTTTACTGCATATTTTCTAATTTGCTTGAATTGTCTGCTCAGAACATACTCAGTTTAGTTTCAAAACTTCAGTAACTATTTTATGGAAGTCTCAAAAATCCTACAGAAAATCCAAAATACTACAGAACCTTTCTCTCACACAAGCACTCATAACACATAATGAAGTCTGAACAAGGATCAAGGGCTGTATCAAATAATTGCATCATAGTTTCTATTACTCAGTAGTAAAAAGGTCAACAAATATAATTGTAGTGACTGCAAAGACTATCTTGCCTACCTAGCACTCTGTGACACACTGCACAAATCATACAGGTTCTGCTTCTACAAACACTATCTGACTCTTAGAGTCTGGCCTTAACTCTAACAGATGTACAGATCCTGAAAAGTATTCCAGTAACTCCATGTATCAATAAAAAGCATGACAGGAGACAAATACAGCTAATAGGCTCAGATATTTTCTTATTTTGTCTTTCCACCTAGACTCCCCTCCACTGAAAGAAATCACACAAAAAAAATTAAAGGTCTACCACAGCAGCTTCTGCTTTAGTAAAAATACTCTTTTGGAAATGGACACATAGGGCAGCAGCAGCTTGGCAGGGCTCTACCAGTAACATGTTTGTGCTTCAGGTGATGATTTTGTTATTTAAACGCCTAGGACCAAGATCATCATCTCCAGCCATTTCAGCTTCTGAAATAAGTAAATAGCAATACTGACTGGAGAACAGAACAGTTGATTTCACTGGCAGGCATGTGATGTAAGGATGTTATAAACTCAGATTCAGTTAGGCCATTCCGTGACTCCCATTCCACCCTTATTTACACCCCCTACATCAGCTCTGAGTTTGGTCCTCAGTGGCTTTAACATGCTGATCCTACCGCTTGGGAACCTGCAGTGGCTGGAGATCCCCCACAGGCAACCCCTCTGGGGTGAAATACTTCAGCAGCTCTTTAGCATCCAGCAAGGTCAGGGACTCCCTCTGGCTGTCTTTGTGTCCCAGCAACTGCTCAGGTGAATGTGCAAACAGAGGAACTCTGGAAAAAAGGCAGCAAGCAAAGACTAATCTAAGATTTTTTTTTTAATAAATTCATAAACTCATTTAATATTTTTTTTAAAAAAATTAAATCATTGCTACTCTGTTCATTTTACTTTGGCACTAGTTTAATTGCTTCAAAGTTGCTCCTTGAGAACATTAACACAGATGTTCATGACAAAGAACATAACTGGTGCAAATTCTCTAACATTCGACTGAAAAAGTAGCTTCTTCAAGACTTTAGAGCTTGGTTATGAAATACAACATGGGAAGAAGATTATTCACCCTTTTTTTCTATTTTTTGACCAAAAATTGGTTCCCATTAAAAAAACCCAAAAAATATACAATATACAGGAAAGGAACAATAAAGCCACTACTGCAAGCAACCTCCACTCTTTTTTAGTGTCTTCAATCAAGTATATCAAAATTCTCACTTTTCTCCCTCTGCAAGCAACACGTTGTATCCTGACACAGGATAAGAAAGATACTCAATTCAGATTATGAACAATAAAATAAACACTGACTATGTAACAGAAAGGTCCTTCAGGAAGCTTTTGAACAGCTAATTAAAAGGAAGAACTTTGTCTCTTTGAGAAACAAAAGTCAACAATAATAATAATAGCAATAATGAGGATGGTAATAATACCACCATGAGAAAGCTAATGTGAGAATTTATCACATGCAGTCTAAGCTATGGTACTTGAAAGAGAGAAAATAATAATAATAATAATAATAATAATAACAACAGTAATGATGATGATTATAATAATACCACCATGAGAAAGCTAATGTGAGAATTTATCACATGCAGTCTAAGCTATGGTACTTGAAAGAGAGAAATTGGATGGAAGTGACTCAGAAAAGGCCAGTTGGACACTTGCCTCTAGCTATGGTACTTGAAAGAGAGAAATTGGATGGAAGTGACTCAGAAAAGGACAGTTTTCTTGCTGACAGGTCTGTCAGCAAGAGCATGAACACCACCAAAGACCATTAAGGCACAGAATCACAGCATAAGCTGAGCTGGAAGGGACCAAGAGGATCACTGAGTCCAACTCCTGCCCTGCACAGCAACACCCCCAAGAGTCACACCCTGTGTCTGAGAGCATTGTCCAAACTCCTCTTGAGCTCTGTCAGGCTGGTGCTGTGACCACTGCCCTGGGGAGCCTGTTCAGTGCCCAGCCACCCTCTGGGTAAAGAACCTTTTCCTCATATCCAACCTAAACATTCCTCAACAAGTCTTACATAAAGTGAGAGCTCAGCTGAAATCAACAGGCTGTCTTAAGTGACACAAAGACCTATGGGTTTCATTTGAACAGCACTGAAGGCAAAAGATAACTAAATATAAATTTTAAACATAAAACCAATAGGCTCTTTGACTTCAAAATTACTTGATATATGATATTAAATGCTGACTGCTCAGGAAATATGAGGAGATCAGAACACATTGCACATGTTGACAAAAACCAGCTAAATTATCTCTATTATGCAGAGTATGTTCGGAGAAAGAAAAACTTTTGTATTCTTCCTACCATGGCTACTATTTTTTAGAATTGCCATTTTGGTAATTTAGTTTTGGAACTATTATACTTTTAGCTAGTTTCCAGCTGCATTTAGTCAATAAAAATCAAAACAATACTTTTTTAAATACCAATAAATTACACCTTTAGAAACTGACAGAAAATAGTTTTAGCCTTAAGCATATTTTCTTTGAAAGATTATCAATATGTGTAATCAGTTTACAGTATGGTTATCAACATATCAAGTTCCTCTATAGTAAAGTTTAATGGCTACTCAAAAAAAACAAACAAAAACAAAACAAAACCACCAGTATTTCATTATTACCTCATTTTTTGTTTGTTTTTTTCAAAGTTTTCCAAATTCTGAAGAACGTGTCTTTCTGGCCACTCCAATGGATTTGGCTCTATTAAATCAGGCTCTGCAAGAAATACATGTTGGACAACCCTAAATAAAGAATCTCATTCCTTAAAGAAATAGATATACAGTACTTCATATATAGATATTCCTCAATGCATCTCTCTAAAAGTATGTAAATAAAAATCTATCTGGTGATGCAACCAGAAAAGTTTCTGGACATTTTTTTTCCTTTCACCCCAAGAAAGAAAAAGGAAATGCAAGGGTAATTTCAGTTTGCAAAATAAGCCTAGAAAGCAGCTTTGCTTTTCTTTCCATGTTTTTCTCTCTTGGTAAAAAGACTTTACTCCTTTTAGTAAAATATTGACAACCAATATGAGAAAACATGCAAGGAAAATAAGCAGTGTATTTTGTAAATAAAAATACTTACCACAAGTCTCAGTGCATGACCTGGTTTTATTGCAGACCTTCTGTAGAACAGGTTTAGGAAGACTAGTGCTGCACAGGTCCAAGAAACATTCTCTTGTGAGTTTTAATAAGCTTTTAAACTCATTGGTAGAAATAACTGCAGGCTGCTTGGTCAATTCCTTTCTCTCTGTAAAAGAAAAAATAAAAGGTACTGCATCTGCTAAGTATCAAAGAACAATGAGAGCCTGCTAAAAAACAATTAAACAAGAAAATCCCCACCCAAAACCAATAACAAAGTAAACTAACTTGACACTTACTATTGTACCAGTAAGGCATAGGTGGTTTATTCCAAAGACAAGTGAAAAAACAGCAGTGAGAATAGCTGAAGTCACATGTGATTCATGTTTTTACAGTCCTTTCACTTCTGGATATATGCATTTCTGAGTATATCCAAGTTGGAATCCCCCAGAGACAAACACCTGGACTTGCTGAGACTAAATGTGAAGGGCTCCAGTATAACTAACAGCCTGTTCTGGTCTCTTTGGCCATAAAATCAAGGGTCAGGTAATTCTGGTATGATTTAGGACAACCAGCAAATCCTAACTGCTTGTACTCAGCCTCATGGAAATGGGTGACCCATTCAAAAGAAGCTAAATCACAAGCTCTAAAGCAGGCCCAGCCTTAGGGTTGGAGCAGACAGGAATCTGAGAATGACTAAGTTACCAGGGGCTGTAGGGTGGGGGACAAGACTACTTACAGAGATCTTATTTTCTTTAAACTGTTATTCTGTTAATGATAATACACTTAAACTACCTCTACAGCATACCATTTTCAGTGAGCCAGACAATCTCTCTGAAGCATTTTTTCTTTTAATTGAGTCTCTTTAAGCAATGGAATTAAGATAGAAAAAATCAGGATTCTCAAATGTACCTCTCTGCAAAGTCATAAAAATCTAACAAATTTCCAATGCATGGTTTTCCTCTGCTGCTTAAGAATTTTCAAAGAAAGAAAAAAATTTTAAAAAGCTGAAAAACCCAACCAGAATTCTTATTTTTGTAGAAGGTATATCCAGCAGTAAAGGATTTTGGGGAAATCATAACAGAATTGCATAGAATTATTTCAACGCTATGCTCAAAAATTCAGAGTATTCATGTAACAACTACCAACACTAACTCAGTGCTCTCTTTTCCATTATCTGACAGATAATCATGGATGCACTTCAAAGTTTCTTTTTAAACTTCTGCTATTTCTTCACAAAGTGATCAACACACTTTGGCTGTCAAACAATTTCACTTTTGTAAGGTGAGACATCCCATCCAATTTGAAATAGAAACCTTTTAAATACTAGTTTGAAAATTACCAGAGCTTTCCCATTACTTACTGAGATACTCCTTCAAGGCAAACACTTGAAGATGAGACAGTTTTGTTTCTCTCTGTACAATATCCTCTCCACAATAGCATGGCAGAGACTTGATAAAATCAGAAATATGAAAGCCTGTATAGATTAGGACAAATTTTTATTACAAATCTCTGTTTGGAGTCATTACTTAATAGAAGATATAAACATAAAAATCTCATATTCAAAAGAAACAACCAGACTTTCAAATATGGCTAATCATTGAAAAACCAAACTAATTAATTCTAACTGGACATCAGGAGGATCATTTCAAAGAGATGCCTATTTTAGAATTTCTGTACAAAACCAGTATAATGACAACACAACATGACTAACATTTAAAGAAGGTAAAAAGATTGTAAGTTTGATACCAGGGAAGAAAAGTTTTCTCCTAACATACGGTCAAGGACTTTCAGTCTTCTGACACTGTACTAATGGGATTTTAATTAGGATAAATGGCTGAGTAGTCAGTCATATCACACACAGATTTATTTCAATAATAATGAATTAAGTAGATAAGATGCAGGTCACTGTGCTCCTTTTCTCTGCCAGCGTTATTGAAGCAAATACAGGAGTTAGTAGAGTTATCTGGTAGGTGTAGCTGTAACATGACAACTACTCCATGATAAATGGCTGCACACCTGCTCTTCCCTAGTGGAGCAGTCAGGATAGGAGTGCCAGCTCACACCCTAAACACTCTGCAGTAACATGGACATCAGCAAAGGGACTGAAGGTTATAACAAACTCAACTTGTCTACTGGTCTTGCAGCTTTTATTTTAAATCATCAGTGAAACAGGACTTTCAAGAGATATTTACAGATTTGTGGCGTGGGCTGGTCAGTCTTTACACCAACAACGCACACTTTCTAAACTTTAAGCTTTCAAAAATTTGTTTTGCAATAATATTACCTGTACATCCCCTTACAATAAAAAATTTTCAATTTATCTCGATTATGAGAAATAACTGACAATAACTTTGCATAGTCAATTTTAAAAATATAGTAGCAGTAAATTCTGTAAATAAATAAGCTCTTACTATATTTTCTTATGGATCTGGAAAAATATTCTTAAAAGACACTTTTATAAAAGATGTAATATTCCTCGTTTTCCCTCTTTTAATACTGACTGGAGTGAATAAAAGGAACTTACGAAATTTAGAACTTACCATTTGCCTGGATTCAGATACTCATTAATAAATAAATGATTACTCTTACCTGACTCTGTTTCTTCTGCTTTTGCCTTTAGCTTTCCGTTTACTGCAGCAAGAGTGGCCATCCCATTGATCTGGCCAGCTGAATGAATCAAGGTTGCTTTACATCCTCCAGAGCCATTGCCTTGGAGCAAGAAATAATATCGGCAAGATTCTCCCTTCAGTTCAATTTCTGGAACTTAAACATCAACACATAACTGTGAAACACCCTCAGGAAAACATCTTTAAAACAAACTATAATCCACCATAAAAATGCGTTCATTTGCTTTCTTCTGTTCTGTGAGAAATCTTACTAATCACCAACCAAGAGTTCTTTAACTGGGCTAAGTAAAACAAGCAAGCCTTTAACTGGCAAAGTTACATTTTTACCATGAAACAACAAAGAGAAAATAGAAACCTTTTAAATACTAGTTTGAAAATTACCAGAGCTTTCCCATTACTTACTGAGATACTCCTTCAAGGCAAACACTTGAAGATGAGACAGTTTTGTTTCTCTCTGTACAATATCCTCTCCACAATAGCATGGCAGAGACTTGATAAAATCAGAAATATGAAAGCCTGTATAGATTAGGACAAATTTTTATTACAAATCTCTGTTTGGAGTCATTACTTAATAGAAGATATAAACATAAAAATCTCATATTCAAAAGAAACAACCAGACTTTCAAATATGGCTAATCATTGAAAAACCAAACTAATTAATTCTAACTGGACATCAGGAGGATCATTTCAAAGAGATGCCTATTTTAGAATTTCTGTACAAAACCAGTATAATGACAACACAACATGACTAACATTTAAAGAAGGTAAAAAGATTGTAAGTTTGATACCAGGGAAGAAAAGTTTTCTCCTAACATACGGTCAAGGACTTTCAGTCTTCTGACACTGTACTAATGGGATTTTAATTAGGATAAATGGCTGAGTAGTCAGTCATATCACACACAGATTTATTTCAATAATAAGGAATTAAGTAGATAAGATGCAGGTCACTGTGCTCCTTTTCTCTGCCAGCGTTATTGAAGCAAATACAGGAGTTAGTAGAGTTATCTGGTAGGTGTAGCTGTAACATGACAACTACTCCATGATAAATGGCTGCACACCTGCTCTTCCCTAGTGGAGCAGTCAGGATAGGAGTGCCAGCTCACACCCTAAACACTCTGCAGTAACATGGACATCAGCAAAGGGACTGAAGGTTATAACAAACTCAACTTGTCTACTGGTCTTGCAGCTTTTATTTTAAATCATCAGTGAAACAGGACTTTCAAGAGATATTTACAGATTTGTGGCGTGGGCTGGTCAGTCTTTACACCAACAACGCACACTTTCTAAACTTTAAGCTTTCAAAAATTTGTTTTGCAATAATATTACCTGTACATCCCCTTACAATAAAAAATTTTCAATTTATCTCGATTATGAGAAATAACTGACAATAACTTTGCATAGTCAATTTTAAAAATATAGTAGCAGTAAATTCTGTAAATAAATAAGCTCTTACTATATTTTCTTATGGATCTGGAAAAATATTCTTAAAAGACACTTTTATAAAAGATGTAATATTCCTCGTTTTCCCTCTTTTAATACTGACTGGAGTGAATAAAAGGAACTTACGAAATTTAGAACTTACCATTTGCCTGGATTCAGATACTCATTAATAAATAAATGATTACTCTTACCTGACTCTGTTTCTTCTGCTTTTGCCTTTAGCTTTCCGTTTACTGCAGCAAGAGTGGCCATCCCATTGATCTGGCCAGCTGAATGAATCAAGGTTGCTTTACATCCTCCAGAGCCATTGCCTTGGAGCAAGAAATAATATCGGCAAGATTCTCCCTTCAGTTCAATTTCTGGAACTTAAACATCAACACATAACTGTGAAACACCCTCAGGAAAACATCTTTAAAACAAACTATAATCCACCATAAAAATGCGTTCATTTGCTTTCTTCTGTTCTGTGAGAAATCTTACTAATCACCAACCAAGAGTTCTTTAACTGGGCTAAGTAAAACAAGCAAGCCTTTAACTGGCAAAGTTACATTTTTACCATGAAACAACAAAGAGAAATTTCTGTTCTGCTGGGTAAAAACAGGCCTTTCTGCATATGTGCATCAAAATAATGTAAGTGTTCAATGGACAAACACACAACCCTAGAAGAAAAGGAAGTATTGTACACATTCTTCCCAAGGACAAACAAGCAAGCCTTTAACTGGCAAAGTTACATTTTTACCATGAAACAACAAAGAGAAATTTCTGTTCTGCTGGGTAAAAACAGGCCTTTCTGCATATGTGCATCAAAATAATGTAAGTGTTCAATGGACAAACACACAACCCTAGAAGAAAAGGAAGTATTGTACACATTCTTCCCAAGGACACTGCATTATTCATTAATAAAAGCTTCACTCCCTGCTTTACCCTTGTACCTGGATGAAAGATAAAGACATTCTATTTTTGAACACTGGCATATAGTATGCAGTTTTGAAAGTAAATTAATGTGGGACCTGACAGTAACAGTGAAAGGATGGGTTTGCTATCTTTTCACACAGAAAACATTTTCAAGCACCTTGGAAGACATAGCAATCAAGATAATGAATACTTCTTGATGCACTAAGTTTCAAAAGTCAAATATTTTCATTTCATAAGATATTTGCAGTACTGTCTCAATTATTAACTCTATGGGAACTTAACATTTATTAGTATTAAAAGTATTAGTATCATAACTTTTTGTTAGCAACAAATAATATATTCTTGTGTTTGTTGAAAATTTATAACTAGATACAGGAAAATACATACCTCAATACATAAATTAAAAGAAAGAAAAAAAGAACAATAAAGAAAAAATATTCCAGAAACATTGTCCTATCATCCTGTTTCGCATGTCATTTCAAATATATTCCTTTTCTAGTTTATCTGACGGGTAAACTTTTATTTCACATTTTAATCTTAGCATTCAAGAACTACCAATACCAAGAATTATACCTTCCCACAGATGGAAGAGATTAAGGATTCACACCTCCTTAGTACACTCAGATTAGTGGTAGCCATTAAAAAATCAACAGTTTTCAACTAAACAAAAAATACATTAAAAAAGCAGTGTTTCTCCTCCTATTGTAAATTTTACTCAAGAGGCTTAATAAGAACCTATTGTGTATTACTGATCACACAATAATTAATACTTGTACAAAATCTTTCCTGGAGCACAGGACAAATAACCTGCAGACACTGGGGATCTTGTGCTCATTTGTCTGCATCAGTACTATCTCTCCAACAAATACAAATGCTGCTGCCATGACCAGCTCTACACCCTCCATACTCTACCACTTCCAAACATGCAGAGATAACTTTAAATCTTTATAGTGCTGATGCTGTTTAGGTTTTGCCTTTTTGCTTTCATATGATCTCTGCATTCTTCACACATATATTTGCAACTCTGTCACTATTGTATTAGTAGCTAGTTTTCCCAATACTTTTCCACAGCCTTTCCCTAACCAGAAAGACAAAAAATTCCAGAGCTCCAAGCCCCAGGAGATACAAGGCTCTGTGCTATCTTGGCTCTTCCTGGGAACCAAGGCCCAGAAAAACTCTTCAAGATACATTTTCATGGACAAAGTACAACTAGTGCTGGAGGGGGGGCTCCAGAGAAGGGGCTTGACCTGGGGGAAATTACATTACCACTTGTCCTCCTAAAGTGCTTTTTATCAATTATGCTTATTTCCTAAAACCTATAAATGCACTCACCCCTGGGAGGGTGGGCTTTTGTGGACATCCTTCCATAATTGTCTCTGAAGGCCTTCATTAAAGATCCTCTTTGACAGGATCTTTACAGGATCCTCCTCACTAAAATTATCTCAAGTTTCATTTCCAGTTTGGGAAAAAGGCAACACTGCCAGCACCTATTCTATAATTAAGCTTCTGTCCTGTTATACAACTCTACATAATTCCTCTCAATTTTTTCCTGTCCCTAAACCTGAAAAAGTATCAGTCACAAATATGAGATATCCTGATCTGCATACTGGTTAAAACATTTGTCTTAAGTTGGCAAAAGAAACAGTCACTGTTCCTTGGAATCTACATTTAATTACACATTAGACCATGTATAAACAACGAGATTATGAAAGAAGGCAGAATCCAGCATTTCATTGTTTCCTAGGTATGTACTTTAAGCACTGGGTTACCACCAAATTCCTTTTAGCCTGATCTTTTCAAGTGCCTACAAACCCCAGCCACTGCTTGTACAGTGCCTCCACTTGCAGGGTACATTTACTGGCTGAATTCCATCTGCAGAAGTAAACCTCTCTGCCATGGATTTTACAATCACCTTCAAAAGATGTGTGGAAATTGGATCTTAACTGACAGACAGGACACAAAAATGGTTTAAAGGAGATGCCCTGTTTCCCCAAAGCTTGCCATGATGTTACCATTTTTCTTCCTACAAGTTTTCATAGCTGTACTTGCATTCACCAAACCTCCTTGTGTCAATGAAGATTTAACAATCACTGATTTAATTTCATTGAAGTTAGAAAAAGAATCCCAAATGTACAGAAAAACTCACCATATATATATGCATATATATATACACACACACACAGACATATAACCAAACAAAATACACATACCAGAAATGACCTTGGTTTTCTTAGCCATATATTCCTTCCATTTCTTGGTGCTCAGCTGGGCAGGAGATGGGATCACTACACTGCTTACATTACATGGCAATGTAAATAAAGCTCCCACCTAAATAAAGGGAGCAAATATAAGACATGTAATATTAGTGAAACCTGTTTTACCTTTCATTCTTGAGCTACTGATCTGGCATTATTTCAAGTCTAGTTGAACTGAAGAAAAACATTTCCACTTAACATATCTGTCATTCACATCAACCAAAATGGAACTGCATTTGACACAAAAGCTGCAAAAATTGTGTTTACTTTTTGGCCCAATTGAGAGATCATTAACTTCTGAATTTCCATTTCATACATAAAAAGGTATTTATTATGTATTGCAAGTGTCTCCATAGCCTGGCTGCAAATGTTTTTGTAGAGCAGTATCCAGAATGAAAAGAGAATTCAAGGATAATAGTTGCCATCAGTGACTCTGCATTCCTATGAAAAAAAATTCTTTTTTAAAATTTTCCTTCCTACATAGTACCCTTGTCTCCTAACCAGATACTGCACTATTGTCCATGTTTGTACATAGACTTCAGGCCATTAAGCACTAACAGAAAAATTGCAGATATATTTGAATATTCAAGCAATATAGCAATGCTATTACAGGTATTAGAAAATCCTACAAACATGAAATATTTCCAGTAGCAGATTGAAAGAAATCCCTATGAGAAACTGTTATTTTCAAAACATACTCAATTCAACATGTGCAGACTCTAAAAAGTAACCTGAGAATGGGTTTTCATTGTTTGGGCTCCTTCTTTAGAAACACTAAAGAAGGAGCCCTATGACTGCAAAAGGTGTATGACCCAGTGTTCAGTGCTCTTAGTAAAATGAAGATTACCTGGGATATTTACCACTATAAATGCATTTTAAAAGATACTTTTAGTACAGCATTAGAAAAAGAACCTTTTCTTTTCATTAGGCTAATGAATGGAGTAGCAGGGGAGAAAAAAAGTTACTAAAAACCCAAATAACAAACTGAAAAAGAAACATACAGTCTGATAATGGGACACCATCTCCACAGTAAACAAAAACCATATGCTATTCATAATAAGTGTATCACCATTTTCAAAGTCCAGGTTATGTTTTGAATGACATAGATTTATTTCATAAACACTAAAAAAACTTTCCTAAACAAGATGTATTACCTTGTATGTAAAGGTGATAGAATGTTCAGGAAAAACACCTTCAAACTAATACTCTGGCTACAAATAATCTCACTATCATTCCAAGCAGATGAAGGAGGGAAAAAGTAGGACTGTAAATGTTTCATGAACTCTTTTTATCCAAAATCAGAATATGCACATAAAAAAGCTTAGCATTTCACAGTAGCTAGATACACTTTGCAGGCTGCACACATGCCTGCCTTTTGCTAAAAAAATCAATAGCTCATCTACAATAGCACAGAAATTATCTGTCAGGATAGGATTATTAAATGTTTTAGGTGATTGAAATTTAGCTGAGATAAAGAGAAAACTGTTCAGTGGGTATGTACAGCATGGACCTTTGAAATCCATGTTTGCTTTAGAACTAAATATTGAAGAAGCTTAGACAAAGACCAGGCTTAAAAATATTATTACCATATCTTTTATAGGCAATTTACATGCCTTCATTTTTCTGCTATAACTAAATAAAAAGGTTTTACCTTCCCAGAGAGAAAAGAAATCTGGTCCAAAAGCAGTGTAGATGTCTCCTTGGTATTCTTTCTTGACAGGCTCCTGAACAGAACAGTTTAAGGAACCTCATGTCCACAAAGAACTATGCACCTCTATTTTAGAAATCAGGTTACCATCATATTTGAAAGAAGCACTGCAGGCATCTAACTTTTGATACTACAGTATCACAAAACATTTAAAGCTCACCTTTATAGGTAAAGTGATACACTTGAAAATGCTATATGACAAAATATTCCACTGACATCTCTATTATAGGCTGACAGAAACAGATATTTATATATTCAAAATCATAGCAGGCTTATACATCCTAAAGTATTATTGGTACATACACCAAGACTAGAACCAAAAGCACACACTTTTAAAAACCAATAGTAATATATATTGAGATCTCTGCAGCACACACACTCAAGACAGAACTCCTCTGCTAATGCTTGCCACAGATTTTGCTGCTGCACAATAAGAACATGGTTTGTAAACAAATGTTCCTATATTGTGAAGCATGCTACATTGATTCACTAGAAAGGCTTGAGCCTTTTTTTTAAACTTACAAAGAATAAACATTTCTCTATTTTTTCCCCACAAAGAGAATGCACATCAACAGACAAATTATATGTACAATAGTATCAACAACACATGCTTACTGCTAATGTAACTTAAATTTCAAAATTAAAAAATCCCATTGTGAAGAATCACTATGACTATTTTGGCAGGCTAGAATGGGATGAGCCCTTGCCTGTCCTCATCTGTTGCTTGCATGGGTAGATGGTGATCTTTTTCTTTCTGCTATAGACAATTATCAGTAGTAGTTTAGATCCTTAAAAAAGGATACAGCTCAAACTCCAGATCTGATATAAAAATGGAAGGTAGATCAGAGAGCACCACCATCTGTAAAAATTCCAGTGCAGGACCATAGTAATGAAAAACCTGAAAAGAGATCAAATCAAAGCCTATATATATAACACTACATATGATGTTGTATCACCACAAGTTTCTCAAGTGTTTTACTGGAGGTATTAGCCTTGCAGATAACATCTGAAAGAGGTATAAAGGAATACAAAAACATTTTGCAACATCATACTAAATTATATAAAAAAGGAAGGTATTTAATTTTTTAAAATAAATCTGACTTTGTAGAATGTCAACAATGTGCATCAAATGAGTTCTAACTCTTACCCAAAATAAAATATGATCTACCAGGAAGAGAAAAAATGCACATGTTTTAACCATGAAAATAACAAACTTCAAACCAATACCAATTTTCATAATGCTCATTTTTGTTTTCATCAACACATATGATTCTGGAGCTCCCATCAATTATCTACTTCCAGCAAAAAACATGAAACATCAAGAATGTAAAAAAAAAAACCAAACCCAAACTTTTAAAATTAAGTAGGGTTTCTGGAGCTCCCATCAATTATCTACTTCCAGCAAAAAACATGAAACATCAAGAATGTAAAAAAAAAAACCAAAAACCCAAACTTTTAAAATTAAGTAGGGCTAGATAAACACAGAATTCATAATTTAACTCTTTTGAGTATTAAACTGAACAAAGTCTCAATTTCTACTTGAAAAAAATCTGGTGTACAGGTGTACAAAAGAAGTATGCCTCAATTTTATCCAATAATTACTTTTCTACTTAACTTTCAGTTCTGACTAATATTTCCCCAATTACTAATTTTCCCCAGAAAGTAAAACAGATGAATTCTAAAACTCGAAGAAAGATCAAGAATAATACTTGCTTCTGGCAAAGTATCAGTATTCCTCAATTGGCATTCTTTTTTAGCAGCAAGGCAGGAATTTAAATTTGCAGTCCTGAATGTCTTGGCTGAAGTGCTCTTTATGCAAAATTCTGGAAAATCGACTCCCGATGCGAACTGGAAAAAAAAAAAAAAGATGATAAATGTGTCAAAAAGAGATAAAAATTATTTCTCTTCAGACAGTTAGATATGTTATTTTTAACAATTAATATTATTTTTATCAAATCTAAGAAAAAGTCTATACTTAGATAACCAACTATTAAATACAAAAACATAATACTGAAAATGTAAACAATGTCACAAAGGTGAAAGGTTTATATCAAATATCAAAGGTTTTGCAGAAACATTAGACATATGCTTGCAACAATGACTTACATGACAATGATTTGTGATAGATACAAAACAACCTAATTTTTAACAGTAAGTTTTAAAAGAATTTTCAGAGGGGAGCATCTGAATTTCTGAAGTTCAGACATTGATGCACTGGTCTCATTTATTATTTCACCCTACCACCCACCCAGACACACTGCACATCACCTTTGAATTACATAGTTGAACACAAATGTGGTTTAAAGCATAAAATGCAGTGCATAATAAATGCTTTAAATGAGGTATATAGATGCTTAAAAAATAAGCATTACAATAATAAAATAAAAGTTATTTTACCTTTCTTTCCCATATCTGAATCTTTCCTCTCCAGAGTTCATTTAAGTCAATAATATTCATTATATCATCTGAAGATACAAAGTCTGCTGACAGATAGTCTGCAATCTTTTGCCAGCTGCTGTAAAAATATCAAAGAATTAATCTTAGTGAATTTAGTATTACAAATCAACATGCAGTGCAGTTTGACTGAACTTATCTATGACCTCTTAGTATGGAACAATCTTGAGTATGTCAAGACAGACAATAAAGCTTTATAAAAGCTCTACATTCCACAAAGTAAAAAATATAGAATTGCTCGTTCAGGGCCTGTACAGGAAGTTGTTCATATGCTCCATAAAAGTGACAGCAAATAACTTTGACATCCAGTAAGACTGGCAATGGCAAGCTGCAAGCACAGCATAGTAATGTTGGGGGCTAGAAGCTGCAGCAAAGCCTGGCAGCCTTCAGTGGGGCTACCACTGCTCTGTCCAGATGGTTTGTAGCTAACCCTCTAAATGGAGATATGACTGCAGCACAAGCATAATCCAAATTCAACAAGAGAGAACAGCCAGTAGCTGTGGGTTCTGCTGGCACTCTGTCTTCCAAGGGAAATCAGCACCATCAACAGAACAGGAAGAATAAGTGAAATAACTTTCATCAGAGATCATCTAAACCCAAATAATCTTACTTTACATAAAAGGCAGCAGAAAAATTTATTCAGTCAAAAGCTGGTTCCACAGGATCATATCAATGAGCACTGAGATCAAGTGATCATGGAAGTCACTGAGTAACTTTCTTGTCCTTCACATACCTCAGGAATTACTGTATAGTAGGTATATTGCTTATTCTATTCAAGGACTGAACATTCACCTTTTTAAACAGTTTTATGAATTTAGGATTAAGTTTAAAAATGTATTCTATGAAGCAAATTTCAATCTTTTGGGCGTGGAGGGGAAGGAAAGTGGAGACTTTGCCAAATTGTTCAGTATCCACACAATCATTTACTTAACAGGATAAAATCCCCAAATCACTGTGGTTTATATGGTGACATATATCATGGCCTTTACATGTCAATTAGAGGAGGACAGTAAGTAAATTACTGCAATTAATTTCAACTTGAATTAATAGTCACAGTAACTCTTCATACTAAAAGAATCTTGAGCAACATACAGGAAGTAATAGTGTGTTTATACTTCTTTTTCAAAAGGGAAAATGAGACACTCTACTTTTCCTCCCTGAAAAGTAATACAAAGGGTAATATAAAATTTAAAGTAAAACCAACAGTACTATGGATTCACTTAAAAAAAACCCCTGGAATACTACAATCAATATACAAGTTACCTCATAGCATAATACAACATGAAAACATTGTATGCACACTGAACCTATGGAAAGGGGAGAGAAAATATTTTACTCTTTGCTCCCACAGAAAACAAGAAGTGTAAAGGACTGACTTTTTGCCTGCTTCTCTGGTTAGGACATGCATTTACAATAAATCAGGATGACTGATTCCTCCCCTCATACAAAACAGACTACTAATTTATGTATTTTCAAAGTACACATGTAAAGTACCCAACAAGCTGGTTTTATTTCAACCCACTGATCTATTCTAACACAAAGCAGAAGTGACCTTGTTTTGGCCCTGAAATCAATGCCATACCCTTTAGCATCACTTGCAGCAATAGTGATCTGGGCAGAGTGCCACTCCCTCAGGTGTTTCAGGGCACCAATAGCAGGCAAGCAGTCCTTTAACTTGGGTCCATCACATTCACCAGCCTGCAGGATTACATCAACCATTGCTCTGCCTGTAAAACAGTTGTGTATGACTCAAATATCATGATTCAGTAAATTTTTTCAGTCATTTAAAGATAGAATAGTATTGGTTATCACTGATTGCACTAAACCAGCAAAAAGATCAAGTAATTTCAGGATTTAAAACATTTTTCCCACATTTTAGCTTATCACTTACTGCTCCTCTTAGAGGAACTCAGCATATTTCACCATTCCCTCAGTGACAGTGAAAGGTTCTGTCCCTTTCTCCTCTCTCACTCAGCACTGACAGATGAGATTTGTCTCCTGTATAACTAAGCTATGTCCTTTTCCTACTTTTAACACTCTGAGCTGCTATTTTTCATTCTTCTTGAGTCCCTTTGTTATCCCAAATCAACTTCTACAACATTATACAATCCTAACATGCAAAGTGGTATGTATCTCCAGTTTACAAAATCCCAATCCAACAGTTGTGATATATTTTCCTCCTCATCTTCTTGGCTCACAAGCAAGCAGCTGTCAAATCAGATGTAAGCCTGATATCAACATCTTCCCCTTTGTTGTAAGAAATTTCTTACAACTCTGTGTTGAGTTTTGTATTGCTTACTGTCTATGATCACTTTGGTGCCATTTCAGATGGATAAATTTATTATATAAATAGCTATTTTAAACTCTACTGAACTACAGCCTGCCAAAGAAACAAGCAGCAAACTATTCCTCAAGCTGATCTGCAATGCCAAACATGCTCAAGTTCCTAAACTACCTCCAAGAGCTACATTAAATTAGTACAGCTACCAATCTAACATTCTCTGAACTTTTCCACTCACTATGCTTTTACCAAATGAGTTTTTAGATCAGTAACTAACAAGATAAACGAGATTGGTTTTTAAAGACAGATTACCTGGGGCAGGCAATTTATCAGCTAATTGATGCAGACTTTCAGCAGCTTCATCATAGATACTAAAAATGAAGAACAACATGTTTGGAACCAAAATATAAACACAGTCATTTAGAAACAAAAAGTTACAATTAATGAATGGTACCTGATGTATCTTACATCTTTAAAACTCTGCACAAACATACTTAGGCTATGAGAAATCATCTCCTCTTTTAGTAAGACAGAAGTAGGCCTAATGACATCAAAATAATCTGAAGTAAAACTGGAAGTAGGATTCAAAAAGAATTAGCAAGACATTTTTGTATATATAATGCTGGCTGTTAGGAAACTGTTCAGTTATCCTATAAAAACAATCTGTTAACAATTAAAGCTATGCTAAACTAAATAAAAGTATTTTCAGTACTAACAGGGGATTGTTCATAGTTAACTCTTGCTTTGGTATTAACTCTCACTTGTTAAACTTTCTTGATCCCTTTGGGTCATCACTAATAGATGTCAGATCATTGTTCTTTAAATAAAAATAATGCACATACTCAGTCAGAGACAGTGATTCCTGACTGTTGTCATCTTCCTCAAAACTTTGTGTGGTTCCCAGGTTCTCGTCAATGCTTGCTTGGTAAGAATCTTCATTTTTTTGTGTGTCAGCATTGATTTCCTCCCAGTCAGAACTGCAGAACTAATTAAAAAAAAAAGACTTAAATAAGCAAAAAGAGTTTTGAACATCACACCTTTAGCTTGTTCTACAGTCAGGCAGATGATTGAGGAACTTATACTCTAAAAGAGTTTGTCTTACCTGATAATAACCACAAATGACATGACTTGCAAAATACCATTTCTTGGCACCTGGAATACCAGCCACTGAGCAAGCTGCAAAGAGATAAAACAATTATTTAATTAATCAATTCACTACAACCTATTCTTCCTATTATCATAAACATCTCTGTTAAAAGATTCTCTAAGTCATTTAATGTGCAACAATTACTTGAGATCTGTTTTCCTTTGGCACCACAATTAAGCTCTAAACATATTAAAGTGTAGGTAAGTGTTTTGGTAAGTGTCTATTACTGACCCTCTGACTGTTAGTAGGCAAGAAAACATTTGACCTCTTCTCTGTTCTGGGTAATATTGCTTTCTCTTTGCATGATCTGTATCAGACCTGAACTAAACAACACCCTTCATAAATATGATTTAGAGTTCACAAAATGAGAAGCTCTATCAACACATCTATGTAATAAAAAGCACAGAAGTTGAAAAGAGCTTAACATTCCCATCTCCATGAATTTTAAGAGCTTATTGTGGTTTACTCACATAAATCCCAATTATATGACATCTGTGACAAGATGGATGAGCTTATAACAGTAGATAACCTAACCAAGTAAAGAACTAGGAAAGCATTTTTTAATTAAAAACCCCAAAACAACAAAACACAAACATACAGCCCCTAAAAGTACTAAATCAGACCTTAAGACATCTATTCTAAGGTGAAAATGATTTAATATTTATGGATTAAGGTAATTAAAATACCATGCTTCCCACTGACTTGAGAATCAAGCCATTTCCTACTCTTCCTTGCTCAACTGGACTGAAGTTTGTCAACTCTTCAAAACCCTTTCCCTTCATTTCTCATAACCAATCAATCTAATCATCTCCTGATACCTTAGCTGCTGAAATGATGTCAGGTTCTCCACAGAAACAGGCCCACACCACAGCAAGTGGGTTTAATTAAATTTCTGACTTGTTTCCCCTAACAGAACATGCAAAGGCCAATTCCTCAATAGCATTTGCCCTACCTCACTGTGCATTGCCATATTTACCTGGGAAAGTGCTCACATCTGCATTTATAGATGCATTACAACTTTCTTTCAGGAACTGATACACGTCTGCAGCAGTCCCAGCTGGAAAAAGAAAAAAAAATCTCAAAACAAAATTATGAATTATGGAAGTTAAATCTTAATTTCTTGCAAATGCAGTATAAAGTTCAGTGTAATATTAGAAAGTGAATTTAGGGGAGAAGGGGGGTGGTTGGGTTTTTTTACAGAACTATCACCTGCAGATATGCAGTTTAAAAATTTTCCTAAATTCTCCTTTAAGTCACGCTCAGTAACGCATTACGGAGTTACATGGCATCAGCACAATAAAACAGGACCACCCCCCCTGAAGTTTCTGCAGGTTAGAGGCACCAAAGACTCTCAGCCTGAAAGCAAAGGGAAGGTCCCGCGCAGCCGCCCGGGCCCCGCCCTCGCAGGGCAGCGCTTCCGCTTCCCGCGGCCCCCGTCCCGCCTCCCGCGGCCCCGGCGCGGCGCTCCCCGCGCTCCCCGCGGCATGGCGAGTTACAGCCGCGCCGCCCAGGTGAGCGCGGCTCCCCCGCGGGGCCTTCGCTGCCTCCGGGACAGCGCCCGGGGCCCTGAGGGGGCGGGCGGGCACCGAGGCTCCGCAGGCCCGCAGTGAGCGCCCCGGGGCTGCCCCCGGTGTCCGGCCTGAGGTGCCGCTGCCGGGAAGCGCCGTGTGGGACACGGCTGGGGACAGGGACACCCGCGGCCCAGGCTGTGTGCCCTCTGAAAGCTGCGTGAGGGGGAGCTGTGCCCTTCAGCGGAGGGAAGGAGACCTTGGGCGTTAAATATCTCATGTAGCCATAGTGGAAGCTTGCAGCAGGATTCCCACATTTTTGAGCAAAGCCCTCAGGGCCGGTAACCTGTCAGTGGTGTTACCCTTGTACATGGCACTGCGGTGGGTGTATCGCCGTGCTCCCTCCGTTTAAAGGTTATTTGAAGGGGGTGGCGCTGCATATCAATATTCCTTCTAGTATTTTTTGAATAAAAAAGAAGTGTTGATTTAATTGAGGAAGATAGATTGCAGTAGTATGAGCTTTCCCTGTGATAAGTACTGACCCTCTTTCTTTTCAGCAATGGGCTACTTTTGGTAGAGCCTGGTACCTCCTCGATGCGAAGATGCAGCCCCCAGGAAAAATAGCAGCTGCCACTGTAATCAGACTCGAAGGCAAACATAAACCTATTTATCATGCACTAAGTGAGTATTGCAGTGGGTGAAAGCATATTTGCTTTTCTTCAACATGCATGTTTCTTCTAATTTCAGTTTTAACATCAAGCCTGATATAAAAGATTATATTTCTCAATTGTTTATAAATTACAAATTAGTTGGTTTTCATTTTCATATTTTTCAATTATACCCCTCCACAACCTAATGTTGTTTCTTTGCCAGTGCATATGAAGTATGTTATGAATTTGTAACTCATTTTGAGTAACTGGATTACAGTAGGTTCTTCTTTAATTTTTTAAAAAATCTCAGGACATGTTTTGTTGATCTTAAATGTAAAGATTTAGTTCACAGTGCACATAAAGAGACATGTGAGTGCTTCCTTTCAGTAGGTGCCCAGGGCCACAGTCTTGGAGTTCTTCATTCTGAATAAGGTGCCAAGCAGTCTTGTTTTCATGAGGCAGTGGGCACAAACTGAAACACAGGATAATCTTAATATCAGATAAGATCTTTTTTACTGTGAGAGTAATGGGAAGTTATTGCCCAAGAGGTGGTGAAGTCTCCATCTGTGGAGATTTTCAGAAGCTGGTCCTGCTTTGAGCACTGGGTTTAGATGACATGACCTTCAAAGGCCCCTTCCTGCCTCACACGTTCTGTGATGAGGCTGGGACCTGTCCTTGAATGGGTGACAGTCACTGTTGAAAGGTATCTTGTTTAAAAAAAAACCATCATTTTGTTTTTCTGCAAATTAGAGATTCAGCTATAAAAATGCATCTGTAATCCTGTTCATTACCTGTAATGCTGTAGTGCCTGTCTCATGGGGATAAGCATTTTGTAAATAATATAAAGTTTATCTTTCACATCACTGGTACAATGTTTCCTGTAGTACCCATGCAAAACTTTCCACAGACATTACTGAAACATAATGGAAGCCTTGAAGTTGGCTCATACACGTTGAAGTATACGTAGTAAAATTATACTCGATCTATTTCACAGTAGGAGGTAGGATTTGCAATGTTGTCAAGACCTTTGAATGTCAGAGTTCTGCTGTTGCAAATTTTGTTGTATCCACAAGATGTCACTGGAGACTTAAGGCTGTCTTGACAAATAAAGCAGTGCTGAGAGGAAAATGGTTTGGTTACCCTGTGTGAAAGAACTTTGATTCTTTTTTGTCTGGGTCTTGGGAAGCATTTCAAGGATATCTTCATTTTATTTAAAATGTTCTCTAAATCAGTGCTAATTGCTTTACACATGTTGACACCAATTGGTTGGTTGCTGCTACTGAGACATTTGGGAGAGCAAAGTATGCAGGAACTTTCTCCTATTTATGTGATATTTTTGAGTTAATAGAGGTTCTGTTAGCACTTTATTACTACAGAAGCCTTATTAAACCAACCCTCTTTCTGGCAGGTGTTGGTAATAGATAATAAACCTTGCACTTAAAGAACTTCTGATGTTAAAGTTGCTGGTATAACTCGAAACATGTATATGCTGTAACATTTGCTTCTGTTGGATAGATGAAAATGTGCAGTTTTTCCCAACAGAGCTGTTGGGGGTGGTGTTTTTAGGGCTTTTTCCCACTGCCATTTCTCTCAGTGCAATATTTTTGTTTTATATACTTAGCCTTAGTACTTTTATACACTTAGAGTGTAACTACTTAATTTTTCCCACTGCCATTTCTCTCAGTGCAATATTTTTGTTTTATATACTCAGCCTGAGAGTGTAACTACTTACTAGAAGTATTTTACTTACCCAAAATGTTCAGTCCTTCAGTAAATGCAGGTACTGTTTTTATGAGAAAGTAAATTAAAATATATTTAGGATGATTTGGAACTAACCTTTTTTTCGTGGGTTTTTTGGGGTTTTTTTTTTTTGTTTGTCTGTTTTTAATATGCAGCACAATATGTTCAATAGAATAGAAATTTGCCTGTAAGCCAGATTTCCAAATCTTAGCTGAATATTTGCACTGGTTTAGTCATCTGGCCTGATGGTATTTTACCTGCTTACCTGCCTTCTAACCTGGTAGTACTAAAAATAGTCATTAAGGTTAGTATTTAAGTGCTTATTGGGATGGTGTGACTCAGAAAGCTGAGATCTTTAAATTTTGGATTTATGGAAGGTGTATTTATATGCTACTATGTATGTATTGCACACATAATAGTTTTTACTTGGATTGATTCCCTCAATGATTTTCTTTAATATCTTCCACTTCTACCTTGCAGATGACTGTGGAGATCATGTTGTCATCATAAATACAAGACATATTGCCTTCTCTGGTAACAAATGGGAACAGAAAGTATATTCTTCACATACTGGGTAAGCTTTAAAGTAAATAAAGCTTGTGGTAATGAGCTTGTGGTAAATTTTTTTCTTAAATATTTTCTTAATAATTGAAGACTTTTTCAGCATATTGCTTTAGAAGGGAATTCCTCCTTTAACTTTTAGGATTTGGGTTTGGTTTTTTTTGTTTATTTGCATGTGTTATGATGTTTAAAATAGTATAAACCTTTTTCCTCCTTCCTTTTTTTTTCTTTTTTTCTTAAATATTTTCTTAATAATTGAAGACTTTTTCAGCATATTGCTTTAGAAGGGAATTCCTCCTTTAACTTTTAGGATTTGGGGTTTTTTTGTTTATTTGCATGTGTTTTGATGTTTAAAATAGTGTAAACCTTTTTCCTCCTTCCTTTTTCTTTTCTTTCTTCTTGTTTGTTTTTTTTTTTATACCCATTGTATGTTGCTAGGGCAATAATTTAACTCAGAAGTAGTCAGAACAATTGAATGAGTTAACAGATTTGGTGAGTGAGGTTGTGTCTTGTGTTAACCTCTGGACCCAATGATCTGGACTGTTCTGTTCACTGTGTAATAGAAGATATTTCTATTGGCACTCCACATCATATATATATATACATATATACATATATATACACACATATAGGTATAGTCACCAACTTTAGTTACTTTCTCCTGCCGCTCTCAAGGTGTACTGATGATGTACATTGTTATACACAGTAGTCTAAAATATATTATTTTGGCAGACATAACTTGTTTACAATGGAAAGTGCAATAATCAACTACAGACAGGGTGTCCATGATCAGTTCAGTGCTCCTATTTTATGCAGTGATACTGATTCATAATAATCTCTGAGTGTCACAATGTATCCAATTGAGAGATGAATAAATCACACTGAGAAAGCTAATTTTGTAGTGCTAATGGTGCAATCCTGAAATTGCTGAATTGCTGAGAAATTCTTGTTCAGAGATGATGGAAATTTTGTGCTTTTTTTTGTCTCCATCTCCCCTATGACCTAAAATTTTATCTAAAAATTTAACATATATGTACCTAAGTTGGTTTTGAATAAGTAAAAAGAACTGTACATTTAAAACTAATACTTAAGTCCATGAAGATCAGTGGATATGTCTTCATGATGCTGGGCTTGTTTCATTTCACTTAGGCTGATTCCTAATAATGTAATTCAGTCAAAATGAAATGCAGCATTACCTGACTTCCATGTAATTTCTTACTCCATGCTATCATTCATTTAAAGCTTATGTAGAGATCTGATTTAGTGCAGCTTCAACATGTCATATAGCCTTTAGAAAGATGGAACCATTGCAGTAAAATTAAAATTTTATTGCTGTAGATATGCCAAGTCTTGCTAAGATTTATTTAGAGTAGCAAGAAAATAATAAATACAGTTCAAAATGGATTTCTCTTATGTCAGCCCCAGACTGGTTGTGAATCTTGATCATCTGGAAATACTTCAGAGTTCTGCATATCTTATTTCTGTTGTATTCTGTAGCTGTTATGATATATTTAATAAGCAGTTTTAAAAACATATGCTTGTGAAGTACAAGGTTTGTCATAGTCAAGTGAATAAATAAGGAAGCACAACAGGTGTTGAAATTAGATAGTTGACAAGATAAATAAAATACAGGTTTTGGACTCGTGAGAACGACTTCCTTTTTTAAGGACCTCTAATACCATTACACCATTGCTCAAGATGTAGTGATACATTTGTTAGCATCATGCTTGAGCACGCAGAATTAAGCTTGTATGTTTTGTTTTTCTAGTTATCCTGGTGGTTTCAAGCAAGTGACAGCAACTCAGCTCCATTTAAAGGATCCAACTGCTGTAAGTGTTTTTCCCTTCCTCACTTTCATTTGTGAATCTAGTGAGTTTCCAGTTAATTAGTTCCCCTAAACAAATAGGATCAATTACCTGCATATCTAAAGTTAAATTAAAAATATTCTATTAGTGGTTCGTAGAAGCTTGGCTTGTGACACCATTTTTAAAAATGTTTTCAGGGTTAGATTGTAAGTTGTGTATTTT